GGTGCCGGAAGAGCCAGCCACACCTGGTCGTCGACAACTGACGCTTTCCCGGCTGAGACCCAACTGCAGGCTGGAGGCCCGGGACCCAGGCCCACCGCAGGCCCGGTCAGACCCCAGAGGGTCTGGGAGGGGCCCCCTGGTCAAGACGAGCACGCCCGCCCGACCGCCCAATCCCCTGGCGAGGGCGCAGGACAGTGGCCACCAGGGGAGCTGAGCCTGGCTGGCCCCGCAATTCCTCCAGAACTGCAGCCCCCGAGCCGCTGCACAAAGGATATATTCCTCGATCTGGGCCGACAAGCGCTCGCAGTCTGCACCGACAGCCACGTGGTCATCTGCAAGAAGGAGCCCTGACCAAGCTGCCCTGCCGGCTCCCCCACACACCTCAGCCTGCGCAGGATCCAGGCGTCCTGCTCCCCAGAGACCCCCGGCTCCCTGCCCCCAAGGTCAGCAGCATGGGGTTGGACTCAGGCCTCCACAGGCAGGCGGGGCTCAGACCACCTGGGAATCAAGCATGTGTCAGGAGCCAGGACCCCGAGGTGTGCTGAGTGGCCCCGGCCCAGGCACTCACGGTCCGTCTGCAGGGCAGCGGTCAGCATCTCGCGACACTTGTTGCGCACGGCGTCACAGGTGACCGGCACCGGAGGAAACGTGGTGATCCTGGGTGTCGATGGCGTCCTGGGCAGCTCTGGCCTCTTGCGGCTGGAGAGAGGCCCGCTCGGGCCACGTGCACCTCCATGAGATGCCGGTCCCCAGAAAAGCCAATGTCACAGCCACGATGCCCCCAGACCCCGTCTGCTCCACCCTGACAGCAGCCCAGAACCCTGCCCATCTGCAGGCAGGTCCAGCACGTCCACACGGTCTGGCCAGAGGCAGTGAGGATCACTGGGTGGGACACACCCCCAGACGGGATCCCCGCCCTCAGGGAGACCTGGAACACGGGGCCACACTGCCCAACGCAAACTGCCAGGTCAGGGGGAGGCAGACGGGACTAGGGATCACTCAAGAGCAGGCACCACTATGCAGGCAGCCCCACCCTGTGGAGGTCTGGGCACCCCCCTCCATGGGTTGCCTGTCCACAAGGCTCTGTCCACCCACGGCCCTCCTCTCACACCCCTGCATCTCGTGACCCTGTGACCTCCACGGAAGTCAGTGGAAGCAGGCCGCTTCCTGGAGGAAAAATAAAACGTGAAGGTGGGCGGATGAGCCCACGTCTCTGCACAGCCATGCCGTGAAACCAAAGCTCAGCTCTTCCTCGCCCTTGGCCACTGCTGCCCAGTGGGGTCAAGGGCAAAGCAGCCTCTCAGCCACAGCCCATCCCTGGGGCGGCAGGAGCAGGGAGGCCTCAGTAGCCCCACAACCTGCACCATGCCACAGCCTGGGGCATCCCCGGTGAGGGAGGGGCCGGTAGCCAGAGACCCCAGGCCAACGTGGGTAGCCAGAGTTAGCCAGCGAGAACCGGACCCTGGACCGGGGCCTGGATCCGGGGATGTGAGCAACGGGCTCCCACAGGCCCGCTCAGGGCATGGGTCAGCTCCGTGTAGCCAGGCAGACAGAGCCTCCCCCTCAGATGCTTGGGGCTAAAAAGGTCCAGAGGAGTCTCCGGAGGGAAAGTGTCCAGCAAGAGCCTGACCCTGGGGACAGTCCCTTTCGAGGAGCTGAAAGGGCTGATGACCTCAGCACCCCCACCCAGGGCCCCTGGAAATCCACACCCCGGTCTGCCGAGAAAGTGGGGCCATGGGTGGGGCGTGTGTCTGCCTTCCAGATGTGCTACCTGGGGTCCTGGGCCTCGGAGGCCTCCTTGGAGGACGATGTGGGCAGAGGCCCGCCCCTCCTCCGCTCCCTGGCTTTGGCGTCTGAAGCATCTACACATGCCGGGAAAGAAGGGACGGCTGGCTGGGAGAAGGCAGGCCCGGAGGGCAGGGCAGGGCCAGGGAGGGGGGCAGACCACCACCAAGGCACAGCCCCAGCCATCGGACATCGGACCCTGCCTCCAGCCCCAGCTTCCTGCGAACGACTGGGGTCCTCTCTCCCCAGCCAAGGAAGGTCCTGAAAAGTCTCCCTGAGTACAGAAGTCCCCCCCACCCCAGAGTGACGGCCTTCACGGATGGCACGGTTGGACTTGGACAAAGGCTGGTCACTGCGGGCAGGCCGGGCATGGCCACTCCCCAGCTGGGCCTCTGCCCCAGAGCGAGCCATCGAGTGAGTCCCAGCCTGCACTGGGGACCTTCCCACAGGACGAGAAGCGTCCCATATGCCACCAGAATAAATACGCTTGTCCAACACGCAGCCCAACAGCCACGCAGGACTGGAGAGAAGCCCAGGACATGCAGCTCTGTTTCCCAAGGGTTTGGACAGAGCCCAGGAGGGGCTGGGAAGGGAGGGGAACCTCAGGGTCCAGTGGGGGCATCCCAGTCGCCCCACTGTCCCTAGAAAGAGGCTGCCCCTGTTCCCTGAGGGGCTCCAGACGCCCCTTCCTCCTCCTCCCCCTCCTGGCCCCCCTCCCCCGGACGTCCCGAGCTGCCCCCTGCCCTCTGACTGCCCCACACTCCTCCCCTGGGCGACCTCCCCCAGCTCTGCCAGGCCCCCCTCCAGGGCCCAGCGCAGCCTCAACTCCTCCCCTTGCTCCTCATGGAGCCCCCTCCTCCCAGCCCGGGCCAGTGCTTCCTGGACTGGATCCCAGGTGGCCCTGGCTCGGGAACAGACAGCACAGTCTGCCAAGAGCCAGCGCGTCTTGGGTGCCCCTTGCCCCCACGCTCAGCCTAGGCTGCCTGACCCGCACCCAGGAGCTTTTTCCAGGACTTGATGAGAGACTTGGCCAGCGTGACGACCTCCTCGTCTGAGCTCTGCTTCCGCAGGGCGTTGACAGACATGCCGACGCGGGTGGACTGCAAGGCAAGCGGCCAGGCTGGGGGCAGCGGTCAGACCCTCCCCACAGACCCTCGGTGACTCCCACAGGGCAAGCTGGGGACCAGCGAAGGGAGGTGGATGTCCTCCCCGACGGTTACTGCCCCATCTGCAGGAACCTCGGTGAGGGACACAGTGGATTTTCCTTGAATGCCCCTCCCTGTCTCGTGGAGCAACAGAGAAAGGCAAGGGACAGTCTTCTCAGGGGCAGGGATTCAGCCAAGGGCCGGAGTGGGGGGCAGGAAGCTCTGCCAGGCGCCTGGGAGCTGGGTGACGGGGCACACAGGGCCCTACCTGCAGCAGGTGCAGCGTGACGGGCATGGCCTTCAGCTCCCGCAGCAGGTCCATGGCTCCCTCCTGGAAGGAGAAGGGAGGACCCTCGTAAATGACTCTGAGGTCTCAGTGGGCAAGCTCAGCTCCTCCTACACACAAGGGTTGGGGGAACACGAGGCAGTGACCGTTTGGAGATCCACCTGGGGTCAGATGCCCAGGGAAGGCAGGCATGAGAAGGGAAGCAGCCGTGCACTTAACCCCAGCCCAGGGCCCCCGAGGGCCGTCAGGGGAAAGGGCCGAAGCCCGTCCCCAGCAGGGGCAGCGCACCAGGTGCCCGCACCTGCCCGGTCCCACATCCCCCGCCCACTGTGGCTCAGGCAGCCTCTCCTCAGTGCCGCCTGCTGGGGCCAAGCCCTCAGGGACCTCTGCTCCCCTCATGTGCACCCCACACCCCCTGCTCACTCCCTCCAGCCGTGTCATCACCTCGCCTGGACGGCTGTGCCAGAACCCCTGCCCACATCTGCTTCCTCGTAGCCGCACACACAGGGGCCACATGGCTCCACAGCAGACAAAGCTCCCCAGGGCCCCTCAGGGGGCCGAGCTGCCCGCCTCGGGACCTGCTGCTCCCCACTGCCAGTGACACGCCTGCCCCACTCTCCCTCCAAAGCTTTGTGCAAATGACGCATTCTCGGTGAGGCCTCTCCTGCTGACGACAGCAAGCAGCCCGGCACCACCCCATTCGCTCCCCGCCTTGCCTGCCTCCACAGAAGGCTCACGGAACCCACCGGTGTGGTTTCACGTGTGCGTGTCTCCCTCATAACATGAAGGAGGCAGCCATCCAAGGGGTGACAGCCTCAGATGTCCCGCAGCCTGGCCATGGGAGGGGCAGAGCCTGCCATATCCCTGATCTGGATGGCATCTCTGCTCAGGCTGCAGCTTCCCCCTCGTCACCCCCGCAGGCCCTGCCCCTTGGGCTACAAAGTCGAGCCCTGTAGTCAGCTCCTCAGAGGGGACAAATGGTCACCGGAACCGAGGGCACAGCGCCACTCTGCGATCGATCATCTTCCCCGAAACGGAGCCCCGGGCTGCAGAACGCCAGCTTTCTGTGGCCTCCAGACCAGAGGGGCATAAATGTGATTCCCAGTCACGGCCACCAACTCCCCCAAGGGGCCTCAAAGGCACTGGGGCCCACCAAGAGCCTCTGCTAGCCCTCAGCCCCCACTCCATGGCGCCCCAAGCCGCCTAGCCCCCTTCCCAGTCCACACCTGTCCCCCCTCCTCATTCTCCCCTGGGCTTCCATCCATGCGGTGCTCCACCTTGATGCCCCCTCCCCCAGTCCTGCCTGGCCCGACCCAGCCCTCCGTGGCTTCCGTGGCCCATCTCTGCCCCCACCTGGGGCGCATTTATTTTGTCTCCTTCAGAGCGGAAGCAGCTTCTTTCTCTGGTCATCTCTGGAAACAGCCATAGATGCTCCCACATCCCTGCTCTGTGCTGCCCACAGCCCCAGGGGTGTGAACATCATGCGGGCTTTGGGGCAGGCGCTGCTGCTTGATGGATGAATGAAAGCTTGGGAGCCAGCCCCCTTCCCAGCCGCGGGGGGAAAACCCTGTCCAAAGACCCAGACTCAACCATGCTCAGCCCAAAAGTCACCCCCAAACCACCAGTGCAGGCACACAGCCCTGGGGTGGTGGGGCAGGCATCTCAAGACCCCAGCTGAGCCTCCCTCAAGGCCCCCACCACCACTCGGCCCCGCCCCAGGAGCTCAGTCTGGGGAGAGAGCCGGTCGCGTTTATTGAGCCTCTCAGGGAGCCAGCAGGACTCCTCTCCACTCCCCAGAGGCAGGTACCACCCACCAAAGACGCTTCCTGCGAGGATACCCAGATCACCAAGGTCCAAAGTTGAGAGGGGCCTGAAACTAAAGCCCCATGTGCTGTCCGCCCCCTACCTCCACCAGCCCGAGACCGGGCACAGCCTTCCCCAAAGGCTCACTGGCCGAGGGACGACAGAAGCCGGCCGCAGAGTGAGCACAGCTGGTCGCGGGGGTCGGGGGGAGTCCTGTGCCCGGGTATTCCCAGGCCAGGCTGAGGGCTTCCTAGGGCTCTATCCCAAGGGTGCCTACGCATCTACCCACCCACTCCCCAGTAGCTGCTGGCTGAGCCCTGGCTAAGGAAGGGAAAGGATTTATTAGGGCAACCTGGTTCTTGGGGGACTGAACAGACAAGGAAAAAAAAGGGCCTCCCAGACAAGAAAGGCCTCTGGCCGGCTGGCCGGTGAAAATGAGACGATGGGGGCCGCAGCCCCAGGCCCGGCAGAGGTAAGGGAGGCGCTGTAGCTCCAGGGGAGAAGGGGGTCCAACCTCACACTCCAAACTCTTGACGGCGGAGAATGGGTGTGGGAGACCTAGGGTGGGACAGAGGGCTCTGAGTCGGGGATGGGGCTCGGCGGGGAGTTCTGGAGGACTTCGAGGATGCCCAGGCTGGGGAGGAGGAAGACGGGGGTTGGGGGGCGGCCAGTCAGGGCTGCAGGGCCCGGGGCTTCCGCAGGGCCTGCAGGGACTGGGCCGAGGAGGGTCTCCGCCAGCCCGGCCTCCCGAGGGGCTCCGGAGTGAGGGGAGGAAGCGGGCGGATCCCAGGCCTGCGGGGTCTCAGTCTGGCAGTTTGGGTTTGAGTCCAGAGCGGTTGGCTCCCGGGACAAGGTTCAGACCGGATCGCGGCCTCGGCCGTGGGTGCGAGGTGAAGGGCAGGGCTGGCCCAGGGCGGGGGTCTCGGCCTCCGGCGGGGGTCTCCCCGTGTCCCGGGAGTCTCTCCCGGGGCGGAGTCTCGTCCTGCCCCTCGGGGTCCTGGCGGCCCGCGCCCCTCACCGCGCTCTTCTTGGTCACCATCTTGTCCAGCCTCCGGGCGATCCGCGCAATCTCCTCCTCCTTGCCCATCATCGCCTCGGGGGCACCGCCCCCAGCGCCCGCCGCGCCAGCCTCGGCCTCCCGGCCCGGACCCCGGCCCCGGCCCCGGCCGCCGCAGCC